CAGGGTTTCCTGTCCTACGGGACAACAGAACTCAAATCCGAGGGGCAGATGTCGCCGGCACCCATATACGCAGATGAATCCCCCCAACAGCCGTACCTGACCTCGCCCATAGATACGCCCCTCAGTGACTTTCTGCCCACACCCCACCTCGAGTGCGACATGCTCACCGGCCCAATCGCGATCGAAGACGATTCCTACGCCGACCTGAATCTCTTCGGTGGAATGATTGATCTGCCTACTCGCGAGATCCCCAAGCCGCCACCCGCGCTTCCCCGCGGCGCGCACCTCCACACCATCTCGCCCGTGGAGCCCGATGTCGACCCGCAGCAACCTGTCTCGGCACGAAAACGCGCGACCGCGTCCGCGACGGGCACCCGCCGGAAGGTCACGCCCGCGAAGCTCATCCCGCTCGACGCGCCGACACAGAAGCGCACCTACGTCACCGAGAGCGCGACGTCGCGCAAGGACGTCACCACCAAGAAACGCACGCGCGGCACCGCGTTCGAGCAGGATGCCGCGGAGACCATCGAGTACCGCCGCCGTCAAAACACCGTCGCGGCGCGGCGCGCGCGGAAGCGCAAGCTGGAGCAGCAGCAGGCGCTGGAGGCGGAGGTGGAGGAGCTGGGGCGGGAGCGCGGGATGTGGAAAGGGAGGGCACTGCATTTCGAAAAACTGTGCAGGGAGGCGGGGATTGTGTATCCGCCTTTCGAGCCTGGTGGTGAGGAGTAAGTGAGTCTGGAAGTGATAGTCGGTAGCGCTATGTTATACGCATCCCTCTTGTTTTGTACATACATACATATCATGTATACGACAACATCCAACTCATTCATGATTCCTCTGGCTTTATGCTCAAATCATATAAGTACCAATGATGATGATGGCTACGTCGACAATCCTTGACAATCCCGCTCCCAAGGTCACTCAGGTTGCCATTCACTGTCTCGTTGGACTCTGTAGGCTATTATGGTTTGTCTCATATAGGATTACTGACTTTGCCTCACGTATCTCTATCGCTCTCGTTGGCTGATTCTTACACGTATTTCAGTTAACTAAATACGTGTATTTATATAGTCCAATAAATGAGCAAGTGGTCCACACAGCTCGGAAACTTGACCCTTAAGCTGTGCAAGGAGGAAGGCGCCGCACGTTATGGGTGTCGATTGTAGAAAATTTAGCACCGGCAGCTTCAGCGCCGATGGTGAATATCTTGCCATCCTCCTGGTTGCTGTCATCGGTCACCTCGATGCTCCACAGAGAATACGCAGAGCCGGCAGCCACCGGCGTCGCGGGACGCGCGATGTCCGTTTCCTCGACGGTAGTATGATTAGTGGCGTCTTTGACCTCGCGCTCGAGAAACAAGCGCGTTGGCTCAAAACCATTGCGAACCTGCTCACGGTCAGCGGGGCTCAAATACTCATGTTTCCACACGCACCGCGATATTGAATCGCCCCACAGGCGGCGTGTCCGAAGTGAGGCACGACGAGTTCGAGAACACTACACGGTCTTCGACAGCGAACCCGAGGCCGTCCTGGTCTTCCAGTTTGCCGTCCACGGTGAAGCGCATGTTCAGGATGCCAGCCGCAGGATCGAGTGGGATGAACCCGGGCTCCTCGCTTGAGCCCTTGAAAACGTACCAGTTGGAAATGATTCTTCCACCCATAGATTTGGTGGTGCGGTCGGGAACCAGCTCCACATTGTTGTCTGGGTTGGGCCCGGCGCGATCGTCCCAAAGCATGCGTACGACAGCAGTGTTGGTTCCCGAAACGTTGAATAACTGGTTACAAAATGATGAAAGAATCGGCAAGGGTGATAGGTACATACCCGAACAGCGCCGGACAACAGTAACTTGTCGCCCTCTAGGAGGAGCTCGACGAGGTCCGGTTTGACGGGGAGCGGGTCTATCACCTCTGTGAGCTCCACGCCGCTCGGTACGGTATCCAGCATGCGCGCGAACAAAGTCGCGCAGGTCGACTCAAATAGGCTTGGCGAGTTACCGAAGCTGTTAAGAGTGAGATATCAGGTCCAAGAAGGGGAGAGAATGCGTACGAGAGCATGGTAGCGTTGCCATCGCTGGCGAAGATGCGCTTGTCGGAATTGAAGGTATCGTTCTTGGCAATAATGAGCGGATTAGTTGTGGTGCTCTCAAGGTACTCCGTTACGCTGCACATCTGTCAATGCATGCTGCAGATACAAGATGCTACGCACACGTTGTTATCGAATACCGAAAAGGTCGTATCAAAGTGAGCGACGGATTGCGTATTCTGAGGATCGTTCAACTCGGGCACGACATCGGGGAACGGCGCGTGTTGTACGCCTCCGAAGGAGTGTCTGAAGATAATCAAACGCTATAGGCCTTCGAGCCAGAGAATACACACCCGCATGCGACGAGTCCGATCATTTCCGTCTTTGTGAACCCTTGGCGAGCGAAGGACGCAATGTGCGATTCCAGGTCCTGTTGCGGTTCAGGCACACCAGGCTTGTTGGGTTCAGTCGCATCAATGCGTCCACCGCGGAACGCAATCTCTGGGCCCTGGCTTCGAGTCGCGGTTAGGCGGATAGCAAATGAGATAGCAGTGAAGAACCTACCAGTTCTCAACGACTGTAATAAGCCCAATTGCAATCATATCGGCGACTAGGGATATTATTCAGATTGCGGAATTCACCGGGGCGGGGTACATACTGGAAATATGGCGGCTGGTGAAAGCGACTAAAACCTCTATCGTGTTCAGGAAACCAGTACCAGCGTTCTGTAAAGTAGTGAGCGGGCAGCGGGTGTCGTACAATGTGTAACACAACACACCTCTCCGCGCGATTGCTCCTCCGCAAAGCGGATCGAGGCATCTAGGCCACCCGTCCCGTCCGCGACGTTGTGGGTCGCCATATCATGGTATGCCTGGCGGCAGATCAGAATTGGCTGCTTAATGACGGTCCTGCGACTCACCGTCCGTATCCAGTCCGGGCCATTGGCTCTGCCAGTTTCAGTGCCGTCCTCGTTGCCCTTGACGAAGAAAGTGCAGGGTTGCATGAAGGATGCCACTCCGTTGATTGTGTCGTCCTGGTCCCAGCGCATCGCCTCCAGGGCGTCGAGCTTGGGCGAGGGCCACACATATGCGTTCGCCGTCGCGAGGGACGCAAGGAGAGCAAGACCGAGCATTTTTTTTAGAGAAGCCGCTGTTCCAGTGTGTTCTTAAAGAACGAATATTTAAGCGAGAGCGAGCGAGCGAGCAGCGGACCGTCGTCATCTCACTCATTCCTTAGCCTCGTTGCCCTCCGTTTCCGTGAGAGAGTCTTAATTGACGGTGTGGGGATGAAGAAGCTTGGCAGCCCGTTGCAGAGATATCGATCTGCAAGGATCTGCAAAGATTGGTACTCGATAATTGCTTGAATTATTCTAGGAGATGCAGATTTAGGAGGCTGAGGAAGCGAACATTTGACGGACGGGGTCGTATGTAGGCCGCTGAGAGCCCGAGGATGCAGTGGCTCGATCATGGTGGTGGCGATGCTACTCCGATCATTCGCGACTTTCGTGTCCCGAGTACACACGGAAATGGAAGAGTTTAGCCATATGGTCAGCAAGTAACCGCTTTCGCTTACGCCGAGAAACTTGTGGGCCTCAGTAGTGCGCTGCGTAATGCTTACCGCGCAGGTCACGGGCGTACTTCTCAGCTTCACCGTAAGGAGAGTATTAGCCCGTCAGCATCACGCCGCTGATGCAAGTATTGAGATATATTACTACCTCGGATGTCGATGAGAGAGTTCAGTTCGCTCCGCCAATATTATTGCACTGCAGGAATATTTCCTTTAACTGACAATTTCGATCGTTCCAACCTACGCGAGAGAAAACGCCGGGCTACAATGCCCGCTCCGACGCCACCAATGAGAAGTGTCTGATTGTGTCAACCCCGATATTACCCCACCGCATCATGATCCTTCCTCAATCAAGATTCCTCTCACGCTCTTACCTCTAGGTTTGTAAAAGGTTGTAAAAGACTATAGTGCTGTGTAATAAAGTCTGTGTTAAATAACAAGACCTTTCTCACACAGTTATTAACACGTTATTTACGTTTCTCACATCAGGGAGCCGGGGATGCATGTAATTTATTTGTGAGAAATATATGTTGCATGTGCTCTTGGATATAATTTTTGACCGGTAAACCTGTACCAAAGGCCAGGAAATTTGTCTCCAATCGAGTTCAGGCCCTTGACCTCACGCACACAACAACTTGGATTTTTGGGGGGCAAAATAAAGCCGATTTTCGACCAGAAACGGACGGAAAAAAACCGCTAACCGAGATTCCGTCATGTTATAAAGCGTGTAAATAACATCCCCATGTTAAATAACCGGGGGGGTGGTTGGATTCTCACGTTCCTCACACCGCCAATTTTGATTCTTACACAGCGCTAAAAGACTACACTCCTCTCCACCCCTGCGGTAAAAGCGAGAGACGTAGCAGTGAGTCACTCCCATTTCCTCACGCGCCCCGCTGATCCCGCACTGATGCGTTGGGCAGCGCCCTCCAAAAAAAAATGAGCACACTTCTTCATCCTCCTCTCCCTCCTACTTCCCTCAAAAACCTCCCTTAAAAAAAACTGACGTTACTACTTACTGGGCTGCCTAGACTAGTTATTGGCCCACTTTCATCTCGAACGTAGCCATCAAAAATCGCATCAAACTTTGACATCTTCCGCGAAAACAAATCTGCTCGTTCTCGCTCATTTATGATTGAAATCCTTCACTTTCTTCACTCTTCCGATGCAGAATTGAATACCCTACATACCTAGGGTTGTTTCTTGACAGAAAAATCGCATCAAAGTTTGACATCTTCCGCGAAAACAAATCTGCTCGTTCTCGCTCATTTATGATTGAAATCCTTTACTTTCTTCACTCTTCCAATGACGGTTGTGTAGTGTAGCGGTTATCACTTCAGATTCTGATTATTGTGGATTTCTGGCGACCCCGGTTCGATTCCGGGCACGACCTTGTTTTTTCTTTATTTTGTGATTGTGGAAGTGTAGCGGTTGTCACTTCAGATTCTGATTCTTGCGGATTTCTGGCGACCCCAGTTCGATTCCGGGCACGACCTCTTTTTTCTTTATTTTGTGATTGTGGAAGTGTAGCGGTTATCACTTCAGATTCTGATTCTTACGGATTTCTGGCGACCCCGGTTCGATTCCGGGCACGACCTCTTTTTTCTTTATTTTGATTGTGGAAGTGTAGCGGTTATCACTTCAGATTCTGATTATTGCGGATTTCTGGCGACCCCGGGCACGACCTCTTTTTTCTTTATTTTGTTCTTCACTCATTGTGGTTATCACTTCAGATTCTAATTATTGCGGATTTCTCGCGACACCGGGCACGACCTCTTTTTTCTTTATTTTGTTCTTCACCCCTTTTGAAGCATCGAGTGTAATGGCTATCCAGCAAGATTGTCGAAACATTTGTCTGCATGCATTTCTGGGTATACATACAGAACGGTCGGTAGAAATACAGGTCTATCCAAATATTGTCCAGGAAAGCAAAGCAAGCTCCAACGTGAAGCCGGAAGCAACGAAAACAGAATAGGGATACAGTAACGGCACGAACAAAGGGCTCTAGTGCGTCGAGAGTGGTGTCGAATAAAAATACTAAAGTGAGAATCTGGAGGAGCGTAAATTGGCTGGATCTCCGGGAGCATGGCAGAGGACGTACCAGATGCACACATACATCTTGCAGCCCGGCTCTGGCTCGGGTGCGCGCGCAACTTCTGCGTTTTCCTACAGGACCGAGAGTTAGAAGGAAACAAGACAAGATGTGAGTTCGGGCATGACGTACAGGTTCGCGGTCGAGGAGGTGCAGTCCCTTGCTTAAATCAGGTGTAGGAGCAGCTGATACAGAGAGAGCGACTGCACGGATGTAGTTAGCGACCATATGTCCGCGAGAACGGGTCACATACTGCAAGAGAGCACAAAGGCGACGATGATTCTGCACTGCATGACGAAGGACAATAGCAGTTCGGTGGTAATAGTCGATCGAGGAGCTGTCTGCTTTGGGCAAAGACAATAGAGAGACATCCGGAGCGCAGGCCTTTAAGAGCAGGTACTGGGAGCGACATACAAACGAACTTCCTTTTTGGGACATCCCTTTGTATCGCAGAGTTCCTGTCGCACTATCTCCGCCTGTCAGTCGAAAAGTATCCGAATGAGGACGAGATTTCCGGTTTAGGCACAAGACACGTCAGACGGGTCTGTTTCTCGAATACTTTGGTGACTGCATTGGGGAGTCGCTTTGTGCGCTGTAGCGCACACCTGCGCGCACCGTGCTTCTGTGGGCGACAGGTTCCTGGAAGGATTTGCACACACTGTATCAACATCAATTTGGCAAGCATAGGGATCTACAAAGCGGAAGCATCACGCAGACGCCCCCAAGACATCCACCAGTTGTCCGCATCGTCCGCTGGGTCGTACCCAAATCTAGGGGAAATCGTCAATATAAAAAGAACAGAATTGATTGCAAGCTTACACCATGCACATATCGTCCCAGAGTTCCTGCATATTCGCCTCCGGGGCATCCAGCACATTTCTGCCGGCCGCCTCGTTCGCACGCATCGAGGCGTCTCGTCCTTCCTGCGTCGGCCCATCTGGAAGGGTGATGATCTTCATGTGTCGCATTTCGGACTCGTGTACTTGAGAGCACCGGGATTTTCTAGAACGCAAGTCAATGACTTAGATAAACGTACAGTGACGGAAGATATACGCACCGATTTTCTTCGAACGCATTCAGAAACTCTGCAATACGGTCCGGATTCCGGGTATGCGAAAAGATTTTGCCGATGAAGGCGCCGTCTTCGATGGCGATGGAGTATGTGTGTAGAGAGCTCGGCTATCCAGCAGATATGTTATACTTCCACTCCAACTCTACATCGGTTACGCACCGGAAACGGGTGAGCTGCGTCACCCAAAACCACCGCCTTACCACTCGCTGAAACCCACGATTCTAGCTGGCGGTAATCCTTAATCTGAACACACGTGGAGGGCCCAGCAAGCTCAAATATTCTTTTTAATCTGGCAAAAAAGAAAAAATCCGTGGGACAAAGAGAAGCGCAGATGTTGACTACTCACAATGGATTAGAAGGCCCAGCAATATCGCCCATCTTACGCTCCGCTGGGGTCGTCCAATCTCCATCCTCAGACGTGTCTGGCGTGTATACGCAGCACACGACATCCTCTTGTTTTCCCTATTGACGTAATTAATGGTTGAATGAATATCAATTGCCGAGCTCACCACAAGAGAAATTATTGAACCTTGAGGGTGCTTTCGTAAAGCGTTAATGATCTTTTGAGACGGAGCGAACTCACCTCGATTTGAACCTACCGATATCATCCCCATCGTCCTCTAAACCGCATAGTGAAGGCATATAAAATGAGAATACAGGAAACACGGACCTGCGGACCGTTATACAACATGGAGGTGACTTCATCCGCCATCGCAACTGATTTTGGGATAGTCGTACTGTTTGTGAACTGTATATCAAGTGCGAAACACGAGTAGTCAATTGAAACATACCTGTAGACGGCAAGTCCTATCAGAGCATCTTCCCCTGCCGCATGCTGCTCGCTGACCAAACGTTTGCGAACCAACCCAAATGCACCGTCGGCGCCAACGATGACGTCTCCTGTATGTACCTCCCCCGAGCGTAAAGTTGCGGAACAAGTATCGAAATCCAAAGCAACGACCTCCGCCCCGAAGAGTATGGTAACTCGCGGCCCAGGAATGTCGGTTTCGTTTCGTTCTTTTGATTTCGCTACGACGTTGAAAAGAATCCGTAGAAGATCCCTGTGCTAAAGAGGATAATTTATTATCAAGAGACAAGGACATGGATATCGGGGATACTGACCGCCATTTGTAGGAAATCACCTCGTGCTTCGGTCAAAAGCTCCGAATCCCAAAGATTTTTCCCTGAGAACGAAAATGAGTTTGGCTGGACCGGGTTTTGATTTTAACAGAAGAACCTATATAATCGCGGCTCGAGTCTTCATATCCGGCATCTTCATCCCGTTGGGACAAGATCAGCAAATATGTCGCGGGTGGAAGGAACAGGCGCCGGACATTTGTAAACGGTGAAACCTCTTCCCACCACAGCATGCTCCCTAAGCTCCGCTTCTAGCCCCCAGTCGCACAGAATTTTGCAGCCGTTGGGAGGAACCCTGAACCAGTGGGTGGGAAAATGTCATATGCGTGATGATCAGCGTACCGAGTGCATCCACTGGGTACCTGGAACGTAGGGAAAGATTAGGTCAGCCAAAGCAACTAAATAGTAGGCTCACCGTTTCTGGCCCCCCGAGCTGTGTTTCCTTCTCCAAGACGAGAACATTGTGGCCACTTTGCTTCAGTGCGATTGTTGCAGATAAGCCTATTACCCACGTCATGTGGATTCAGGTACTTCGTCCTCGTTACGACGCACCGGCTACGGATGCTCCCACGACTATCTGCAAGAACGGTAAGTGGCTTCCACTGAACAGAAATCTACTCTTCTCCAAGCACGCACGAAATTCAGCGGGGGTCTATCCAGGTTGTGCATTGTCGTAGTTGGCGGAGAGATGGTGGGTTAAAGACAGTCAGGTCGAATTCACAACGCCGCCGCGCTCGATCATTCCGTGCCCTGCTGATGATTGTCCTCCCCAGCCACACGGAGATACTGCTCTCCGTCAAAAGTCCCTGATTAATAAGCCGCCACGCCGCGTTACTGCCGTCATAGATGGATTGCGTCTTAGTTTTCAGTTGGTTTATGCATTGAGACACCGCCGACTTGTCCCCGAATCGCCGCGCCGCAGTGGAGATCTTATGAACCACACCAAGACGCCAACAAGAGCTGCATGCGGAATGATCACAATCATGATTGCCAGCCAAAGGCACGTAGGATCCACGGCTATCCAAAGGATCATTGCGCCCTGAAGTGGATAGGATTGTTGGTATCCTGGCAAAGATATCGATAGCATCTTCACGAGCTCGGAACAGATCAGGGAACAGATCCTCGCTGCCTCCACCCACCGAACGAACCTATGGGATCCACTTCCTGAAGCCCAAGGGCATTTCAGAAATCGCATGGTGGTAGTGGTAGTGGTCGAAGCAAAGTCGGATTAATCGTTCCGAATCTAAGACTTCTTTGATAGCTCAGATCAAATCAAAAAGGCTGTAATGTGGACCCATGAAGCTGTACATATAAACTTAGGGCTATGTTAAGGCTGTGTAATACATAGTACGTGCTGGCAATAAAGAATCTCGCCTTCACACTTTTACACGACCTTGGAGCCAAATCCAGGTTTGTGTAATCCTACCGACAGAATATTTACTGCGATGGCGCCTAAACCACTCACAATGGCCATTTTGTACGCATCACTCCCTTGTCTCCGACGTCTTTGTGTGCTGAAAATATAAATCTCTCTCTAGCTGGGGTATGACTATTCGCGTTCGCCCACGCTTTCATCTTCCACTTACTACGATTTTTCATAGTCCTCATCCTCGCACTGAATCTCTTGTACGTGGCTTTCATTGCCCAATCTTAAATATGACTAAGATTGTTCCACAGCGCGGTCGCAGTATTCATCTGGGTACTTTCCCGGCCCAAGTGAGTTCTCCGGTTCAGACGTCCGCTCACACTTCCTGTATGCAAATGACCTGACATGATATTGGGCTTTAGTGGGATCACGAGGTGGTGGAATATTGTCCTAGTTGTGGTCGGCGTATTTGGTGCAATCACCGCAGGGTTCCGCGCGTGGCAATGCTGGAAGCTGCATAAAGTCCAAGCGGCAGCCTCTTTACCCTATGCGTTCGATTCACGGGCTGTCAGTGCAGCTGGGTAGGAGATGAGGGCTGGGCACGAAATACTGTGTAATTTACTTCCGCATGTCCGGATCGGTTATTCGAGGTGTAATGACTTAAACAGTGCGGAGGATTCGTGGACTAGAATGCAATTGTCAATACAAATACAAGATGCAAGTAAGGTATCTATCTATGTCAGAAATTCTGGTTCAAAACCCGTCCGCAAAGCTATTCGCGAACTCTCCCTGGCTCTTCAGCACCGCCTCAAGATGCACCAGCGACAGT